TCTACATCTGCTAAACACAGAGGTGGGACTTACACTCAGGTCTGCCTGATCCATAGCCCATTCTTCTAACCATAAATTCTCAAAATGGTCATACTTCATCTGGCAGTTAAATCAAAATCTAAAGAGTTGGAGCTCCAGAATCACTAAAACTTTCCAGTAGATTTTAACACAGCCAGACCAAGATTTGGAAAGCTCTGCTCTCAAATACCACATTGTATTTCTTCAATCAGTGTCTGTTTGAATGAATGAGTGAGGGGCACCTGGGTAGCTCAGTCGGTTAAAGCATCCGACTTTGGCTCAGGTCATGATTTCATGGTTTGTGGGTTCAAGCCCTGCATCCGGCTGTGTGCTGACAGCTCAGAGCATGGAGCCTGCTTCTGATTCTGTGTCTCCCTCTCTCTCTGCTGCTCCCCCACTCATGCTCTGTCTCTGTCTCTCAAAAATAAATAAAAGGTGAATGAGTTAGTGATTGAGTGAATGAAAAGATGAATGATAACTATAATTCTTCCATTGATAATCCATTTCTGGTTTAAGATTCACTCTCAAACAATGATCCTTGTTTTAAAATACAAGGATTCCTGAGAGGTCATCTCTTAATTATCTAATATTTTTAAGAGAATTGGGGCTTAGTTGAACAAGGCTTCCATTCCCCCTCCAGATCATCTGCTGTGTTGGACATTGTCATTGACAAGGGCTCCTAGAGTGGTCCAGAAACATTCCATCTGCATGCAGTGACACCTTCAACTCGAGCACTCCTCTGTGCTCTCTGGGACACTCCTTCGAGGGATGGCGTCCCTTTACAAGGATGACAGCTTCTCCGGAGGGCTGACCTCAGACCACTTAAGCAAAGGCAGCACAAGTGCCCATCAACTGATGAATGGATAAATGAAATGCAGTTTTAGCCATACAATGGAATATTATTCAGCAATGAAAAGAAATGAAATATCTGCACATGCTGCAATATGAATGAACCTTGAAAATATTCTATAGTGGAAGAAGTTAGTCCCATATTGTATGATTCTACTTAATACAAAATGTTCAGAATAGGGGCTTCTGGGTGGCTCAGTCAGTTAAGTGTCCAACTCTTGATCTCAGCTCAAGTCTTGATCTCAGGGTTTGTGAGTTCAAGCCCCACGTTGGGCTCTGTGCTATATGTGAAGCCTACTTAGAAAAGATAAAGAGCTTCCAAAATGTTCAGAACAGGCAAATCCATAAAGAGAAACAAAACAAATATGTGATTGCCTAGGGCTGGGAGAGTTTGGTGAGGAATAAGTGATGACTGCTAACAGAAATAGAGTCTCTTTTTGGGGTGATATATTCTGAAATTCATTGTGGTGATGATTGCACAATAGTGCAAATGTGCTAAAACCACTGAATTAATACACTTTAAAAGTGTAAATTTTATATGTGAATTACATCTCAATAAAGCTGTCCAAAAGGGGGGAAATGCAGCACAAGGTGACAGCAGCATTGTAGTAAATTATACATGAGAATCATAAGATTGCCAGATACTCGTCACAACTGGAAAAGACTCCAGAAAGTTCCCCTTCACTAGGTGAATGTACAAGATCGTCTTTATGAATAAGTGCTCACCTTATGGTGTCCATAAATTGATTCTATCACTTTCTGTGATGATTTTTTCCCTCCTGAACATGTTTCTAATTTTTTAACCCTTTTCTTTTCCCTAGCCCTTATGGGACTAAGCTCAAAATAATCCTCAGACAAAAAATTCATGAAGTCAAGTATATAATATTATATTTGGGGGGAAAGGATTATAAATTAAAATGTAAAATATGACTATGGCATTGCACATTATTGCTGCAAGCAATACCAGAAAGCTGGTACTCATTACTTACAATGGCAGAGAAGAATGTTCAAACCACTAATAATGTTTAAAAGCAAGACATGATTCCATCAAAGTCTCCAAGTGTCATAGTTGCCTCATCATTTTTCATCCCAGTGGCCATGGGTAGGTTCAGGCCTGAATTACATGTCACCTGACCAGTGGAGCAGTGAAGCAGCCTGATTTCCTGCCTCTAGTCTCTCTCTTCCTAGGAACTCACCTCCTGTCACACTGCCCAAGCTACCTCTCTAAAATGCAGATGTGAGGCAGTGCAGCCCAGGACAATCACAGCCTGGGTCCCTGTCTTGCATGGAGGCCCCATCGGCTGTGAACTCATTCATTTTAGGCAAGTTACTAATCTTTCTGTGAATCGTTTCCCCCTATGTTTAGTAAGGATGAAATGAGAGCAGTATGTTAAGTGCTTAGACCAATGTTGAGCTCATAGCAGCCAGTCACTATAAGCTTTTATTATTACACTTCCATTCAAATGCTTCATTTCTACGTAATGATATCTGATCATTATCAATGAAATCTAACCACTGATCATGTAGGAGACTGTGTGATCTAATCCCTGTCTGTCTTCTCCCAGTTCACAACCTTCTGTAGGTACATCTGGCAAATTTGTGACGCCAAGTACTTCTCAAGCTCTTTCTCTGCCATTCCTGTACCTCCGATGTCGGTTAAGCATCAGACTTCAGCTCAGGTCGTGACCTTGCAGTCTGTGAGTTTGAGGGCAGTTTGTAAGTACAGAGTCTGCTTCAGATCCTCTGTCCCCCTGTCTCTCTGCCCTTCCCCAGTTCATATACATGCACTCTTTTTCTCTCTCAAAAATAAATATTAAAAAGATAAAAAGGAAAGCCTTATTTCATCCAGGAAGACCATGAGAGTATGAAGTGATTATGAAGCTTTTCTCAAATTTCTCCTTTCTCCATGTTCTGGCAGCACCATAGAGGTTTGAGAGAAGTTGACCAAAGGGAGTCATATTTTATAGGAAACACAAACAGAACCCTCAGTGGGCTCGAGAAGAGAAGTGATGGATACAAGAGGAAAGGATAGCTTCTAAGCTTAGACCTGGAACAACTGGGCCTGTGCTAGTGCATTTATTGATACAGGAAACCTGGAGAGAATAAGGCTATGAGGGATTAGTAATAAAGACATCCGTGGTTTAGGTTACATTTGACATGCCAGTCAGATATCCTGGTAGAATTTGTAAGTAAGTTGTTGAATATGTGAGTCAGGGTTTGGGGAATGTTCAGGGCTATGGATAAAAAATGTCATAAAAATCCAATAAAAGCTTGTCAAATTTGTTTCAATTCTAAAAGCAAAGAATGGTGGCCTCCTAGACATCTTCCAGCTATACACTTCAATGCTTTGGCAGCATTTGCAAAAAATAAGCATGAAGAACAACTCTAGCTCCAGCTTAGGGTGGAATATGGTGGACAGTTCCATGACTTCTTGAGATAGACTGGTCCTTCCTACCTCCTAACCTCTCCCTAGCCCTTTCCTTCAGGTCATACTCCAAAGGGCATGGCCCCAGTGCTCATGAGGGAATGGCAGAAAGCCCAGGACCCAGCATGGTCCTCCAGGCCTCATACCACAGGCCTTGAAAGAACAGCAGCTGCTGGGACATATGGGTGACCAGTAGGAATTCCCGTTAGTTGTGGACTGAAGCGTGTCCATGTACACAATACCCAGTTTTCAGAAAGATTTGTGACAAACCTTCTCTAGTATCTTGCCATGTTTTTCCCAGTGATTTTAACAGTTTAATACCCATATTTCTCTGATCTCATTCCTGTGAAGCATTTAAGAATTTGTAGATCAAGACACATCCCTCTTTTTTACTCTCTTCTTGCTACTGTTCTGTTTAGGACTTCATCATCCTTCACCTTGGCAAGTTCAGTAGCCTTGCATCTAGTCTCCCTGCCTCCTTTTTCTCCCCACTTTGCCACCAGAATAACTACACCAAAGCATTTCCCTGTTAGGGTATCCACCTGCCAAGAACTTCAATGGCTTACCCATTGGTTACTAAAAGAATAAGATTCCAAAATGTTTAGGTTGATGTTCCATGTCTCCCACAATCTATCATTTCCAGGCACCCTCTCCAGCATTAGTGCCCACCAACCATACTCTGGGTTAATTGATCAGGCCCCCATTTCTCCCACAAAATAGTTACTGTGGTTGTTTGTTTTTGTTGTATATCAGCACCTGCCATTTCTTTCACCCAGTGTGCTTCACCTGTCTCTAAATCCATTAACATCCTCCTCAAATTCTAGGCAAATGCTGCCTTCTTCAAGGAAACTCCTTCCTCTCCCCATTGGAGGGAGAAGTCTTTGTCTATACTTCTTAAAGAACTAGTGTTTATTTAATTTTTTAAATTTTTTAAAAATTTTATTTGAGAGAGAGAGTTTGTGTGTGTGCCATGAGCAAGTGTGAGCAGGATAGGGGCAGAGAGAGAGGTAGAGAGAAAGTCCCAAGCAGATTCCACCCTGTCAGTGCAGAGTCCAGTGCAGAGCTCGATCCCACGACCCCGGGATCGTGACCTGAGCTGAAATTAGGAGTCAGACACTCAACCTACAGGGCCACCCAGGTGCCCCAATGTTTATTTTTTTTAGAGGCAGTTTTCAGATAGGTGGTGATGATGATAATGATGAAGATGATAGATAGATAGATTAGATTAGATGATTAGATTAGATTAGATTAGATTAGATTAGATAGAAGGACTTGTGGCTTGTGAGGAGGCTGAGCAGAGGATGAAGAAACATGAACAGAATAGGGAAAGTCTATGGGAAAAGAGCAAGAAAATAAAAGGGCATTTCTTAGGGCTGGAAAGTGAGTGAATTTGAAGAGATAAGGCTGGGGAAATGGACAGGTTTGGACATAAAGAGCACTCCAAGATGTGAAAGATACACCCAGATACTCATAGGTCCTTGGAGGATTTTGAGCAGGGCATTGACATGACCAGACCAGCTCTTTGGAAAGATCGCTCTAAATTTATGTGCAAAGTGGATGGGGGGATCTGGGGGCAGGATACCTCAGGGGGAGGCTCCTACATGTTGCTCATGCTGAGAGACACCAGCTGGCACCTCATCCAGGTCTCTGTCGCCTCAGTAACCGCCGTCTCTGCCTCTCCTCAGGGCTTCCAGGGCAGCGGCTGAGGAGACCTTACCAAGGAGCACCACGCAGTAGATGCTGAAACATCACCCCCAGGAGAAGAAGCAGTAACATGGCAGCCCCTGTTTGAAAGGAATTAAAAAACAGCAGAGTCCCTTTAGAAAGAAACAATGTCCAAGAAAGGGCGAAATAAGGGCGAGAAGCCCGAAGCACTCATTGTTGCCCTTCAAGCTGCCAATGAAGACCTCAGAACCAAGCTCACAGACATCCAGATAGAGCTGCATCAGGAGAAGTCCAAGGTGAGTGAGGCCCCTTAGGGCCACAGCCTGGAGAGCACTCTGGCCCAGCTCTGCCTGCTGGCCCACCCCAGTGGCTCCTCTCTGCCAGTTTCTGGGGAGATCGACGGCCCCTGTATTTATGGAGAGTCTCTTGTGTGTGTCTGTGGCAGGACTCGAGCACAGGATTCACAGAAGGTGAGAATAACATGCTCATGAGACTGATCTCTGCCTCCTCAGGAAGCCTGGCTCAGGAAACCAGTCATAAACATTGAGACGACCTCCACTCCCACTCCCTCCCACCACTGCATCGTTGTATGGCCCTGGGCGAGTTCCACCCTGCCCTCGATGGGGATGGGTTCTTCCTGCTATGGCACGAGCAGCCCTTCTAAACTATATCGCATCAGGTCATTCCTCTCCTCAGACCCTTCAGTGGCTTCCTACCTTTTCAAAGCCAAAGGGTTTTCCCTACCACTACAGGATATTTCTTCCCCCTCTCTAGGGCTCATCTCCCGCTGCTTTCCCCCAGATGACTCTGTTCCGTCCTCTTTGCTGGATCAAAATATATATACTGATCACATTTAGGGCCTTTGCCCCTTTGCCCCCACGCAGCTGTCTACCGCTTTCAGATGTCAGCTCTGATACCTTCCATCTGCCACAGTCTCTAAGACAGGACACTTCTCATGCCCAGTTACTCCTATAGCCATTTTGATTAATTTCATAGTGATTTCTGCATTTATCTATTTACTTGTTTAGTGCTTATTTCTGCCATCCAGTGTAATCTCCGTGAAAGCCGAGTCCTGCCTGACCTCTGTCTCTCAAGCCTAAATAAATGTTTAGAACAGAAAAGGTTAGCATGCGTTTGTTGACTGGGCAGAGGAACAAATGAAAGGTGATTCATTTTTTTATACCTTTGTCAGCAACATCCTCCTATCTCAGGAGCTCTAATGAGGTTCCAGTTAGACAAGTATATAAAGCAGTTATGATGATTGGATGAGAAAATTCATATCATGCTCAGAGAGATGCCAGGTGCATGGTATACTCCTAAATATATTCTTTCTAATAGCTCTGTATGTGAGTCTGTTGTGAACTCAACTTTGGAAAGTCTCTTTACTCCTCTGAATCTCATCTCTTAGCTGGATATGCTAACACTTACCTCTTCAGAGTGGTACAGGTATCAAATATGGTCAAAAACAGGAAAGTATTTTCAAACATCAGACATACATGAGACATTTTTGCTCAGTACACACCAGAGACAACTGTGTCTGCATGAAGTTACCCTATGTAGATCACTCTTTGTATAGTAACACAAATAGATGTTCCTGATCGAGCTATAGTTCAAAAACCAATATCCTCATTCTTTTTCATCTATTTCTTCTTCTTTGCCATTACTATCAAATTTTAATTATTGGGCACCTGGCTGGCTCTATCAGTTAAGCATCCAACTCTTGACTTCCACCAGGTCATGGGTTCGAGCCTCACGTCAGGGCTGTATGTTGACAGTGCAGAGCCTGCTTGGGATTCTTTCCACTCCCTCTGTCTCTGCCCTTCTTGTGCTCTCTCTCTCTCTTTCTCTCAAAATAAATAAATAAATAAACGTAAACACTTTTTTAATTATTTATTTTCCAAAATATCTATTTCTCCTGGTTTCAGCAATAATAAAGCTTAGATCTGCCAAAGTTCCTTGCCTCCTGTCTCTGTGGAGACTTAACCTTGGATAACCAGACCCCGGTGTAAAATTTGCGGAGGAAGTTTTCTTCCATGAAGCTAAAAGGGATATGATATCATAAAAACAAAGAGTACAAAACAAAACAGAAACATTCGTTTGAGAGTCAGTAGACCAGGGCCTTGTGTTTATCTCTCCTCAGGGACAAATTTAAGCGTCTCAATATCTTGACCCGTAATTCAGATGACTGAATGTGTCTCTCAAGCATCACTGTGCATTAGAATAACCTGGGGGAGCTTATTAACAATTGAGGTCTCTGGGCCCACAGCACAAGGATTCTAATAAAGCAGACATGGTGAGGGCCTGGCCTTGCACTTCTGACAGACCTCCCAGCAGTCCGCATGGAGGTGGCTGTCTGCCTCTTGTTGCAAACAGACCACGAAGGTTCCTTCCAGGTCTGACAGTCTATGAACATTTCGCCTGTTTAACTTTCCCTGGGGCAACGTAACATTGCAAGGGAGGCCGACTCCTTTAATTGTAGTAACGACAGGATGACAAACTCCATCCATGGGAGAAGCCTGTCTGTCTCAGTGACCATAAACTGACGCTGATTTACAGAGAGCAAACTCCTGAGGTTTCAAAGGGCAGAGGTCCCACAGGCCCCACCACTGCCAATTTTGCACACATTCAAACCTTTTTAAAAGGGGTAAGGGGCGCCTGGGTGGCTTAGTTGGTTGAGCATCCGACTTTCACTTAGGTCATGATCTCACGGTTCGTGGGTTCGAGCCCCGCATCGGGCTCTGTGCTGACTGCCAGCTCAGAGCCTGGAGCCTATTTCAGAGTCTGTGTCTCCCTCTCTCTGACCCTCCCCTGCTCACGCTGTCTCTCTCTCTCTCTCTCTCTCTCTCCTAGAAATAAATAAAAATAAAAAAATAAAAATAAAAAAAAAAATAAAAGGGGTAAGTAAGTCTTGAGAGAGTGGTCAGGGCTACCTGTTTATCCAGGGCCTGGCTGGCACTGGTATCTAAGCTGGCAGATCACATGTAACCCCCTTCCTCTGACAAGAGCCTGACAGTCAGCCTCGTGCAGAAAAGCACTGCCCTTATCCTTCTCTCTGCTGGCTGCCCCCCGTCTTCCTCTCTGTGGCAGTTAATTACAGTCCCAGCACAGGGACTAAAACAAAGCTCCACCGCCTGTCAGCAGCCTTCCCCAAAGAGCAAAGGGAATTTAGAGGGCAAGCAAGTCATAAAGCAGTTTTATTAAAATAAATATGATTGTGTTTCCAAAGGCCCAGGCTTTAAGAGAGAGAATATAAACAATGCCAAGATGGGAAGTCATACCCTCAGTTTGGCTCCTAGACTATCATGATAAAATGACAATGCAGCTACTGGGAAATGGGCAAGTTCAAGAGGGGAAACCTTAGGAGCAATGGCACATTACTCATTTTTCCAGAAAGACACATCATCCCATTGAGATTTGTGAAACACACTGCAGGCAGAGTCGTGAATGCTTTAAACTGATTATACAAATAGCTACACATTATTGAATGTTCACTATCTGTCACACACTGTAATAGGCACGTTTCATCCTGTCATAACTGTACCTCTTTCACGTAGCACCTGGGTGACCCTGAGAAGGTTTTAAAATCCCTTTGTGTTCCCCTTTCCTCCTCTGGCAAATGGGAGAATAGCAGTGTCTACTTCAGACAGATGTATGTGTGTTTGTTGGTCTTGAGCAGTTAGTTTGTGTCAGACATGTTCAGAATTATGATTCAAGTATAGGTGGGCATTGTTCTTCTCCTCATATTACAGATGAAGAAACTGAGGCTTGGTGAAGTAATGTAATTTACCCAGAGGCACATGTTAGTAGATGGCAAAACTGGTTCTTCAACTCCCTTGCCTCCGCTCCAAAGTCTATGCTCTTATTTTCTTTTCTGATATATTTGCCCCAGCTTTATTGAGTTATAATTGATAATATCACATTATATTCATTTTAGGTGTACAACATAGTGATTTGACATATGTATAGATTATAAAATGATTACAACAAGAAGTTTACTCAACATCCATCACCTCACATAGTTACAAAATATTTTTCCTTATGATGAGAACTTTTAAGATCTCCTCTCTTCACAACTTTCTTGTTTTTAAATGTTCTATATCTTTTTTTAAAGTTTATTTATTTATTTTGATAGCGAGAAAGAGAGCATGCAGGCACAAGAAGGGGAGCTGGAGAGAGAGAGAATCCCAAGCAGGTTCCATGCTGTCAGCTAAGCTCCTGATGTGGGGCTCCATCCCATGAAATGTGAGATCATGACCTGAGCCGAAATTAAGAGTTGGACATTTCACCAACTAAGCCACCCAGGTGCCCCTCTCAGTTCACAATTTTCAAATATGCAATACAGTCTTGTTAACTACAGCCACCATGATATGTGTTACAGCCCCAGATCTTATTCACCTTATCATTAGGAGTTTTTCCCTCTTAACCCCCTTTACCCATTCCCCCGACCTGTAACCCCATTTCTCTGACAACCATCAATCTGTTCTCTGTAGATTCCAAAAGAAAGTGAGATCACATATTATTTGTTTTTCTATCTCTGACTTATTTCACTTAGCATAATACTCTCAAGGTCCATCTGCATTGTTGCTGATAGCATGATTGTCTTCCTTTTAAAGGCTTAATGATTTTTTTATTGTGTATATGTGTATTATATAATATGTATATATACACACACTTTCTTTATCCATTTATCCACTGATGGACAGGTTATTTCCATGCCTTACAGAACCTATGCTCTTAAGAAATGGGTGGTTCAGTTAGCTAAGCATCTGACTCTTGGTTTTTGCTCATGTCAGGATCTTGCGATTTGTGATTTCTAGCCCTACGTTGGGCTCTGTGCTAGCAATGTAGAGTCGGTTTGGGATTCTGTCTCCTTCTTTCTCCAAATAAATAAATAAGCTTAAAAAAATCGGAAGGTCTGGAAAAAAATGGAAACCTTCAGCAAAGGAAGAGAGAATATTAGAAGTTTATTTTATACTATTATGAAAATTACAAATGAAGAAACAAAGTGTTGGGGGTGGGGGTAGTAGCATACTGAATCCTTCCCCCATAGATGCCTGCATTTCCACTACAGGGAAATGAAACAAAAATACTGGACACAGTCAACTTCTAGTTAGTAGAAATTTATCTACAAGATTTGCTAAGCACTAATAGGAATAAACATTCTGATAAGTCAGTCATTTTGACCGAAGTCCAAGAATAATGACTAAGAAAATGGAACTGGGGAGCCCCCTGGGGCGGATAGGAAGGAACAGAAAGCAAGGACTCTGTGCCGTATGTCCTTGTTATTTCTGAGCCT